TGCTATATCTATTGCACATTGTTGTAGAGCTGCAGGAATGACAATCCGTGTTCCTCGAAGTATAACACCGTGTGTGGTAGACATAAGTTCATTTTTTACGGCTTTGAACGGTTTTACAATTGGGGAATCCCATTTATTTGTTTTAATTGCATCATGGAGTGCCGTTAGTGCCGCGTCTGCGTTAGTTGCATTGATTATTTCTTGTAATGTCATCACCTTAGGGACACTGTTCTGAGTTATAAAATTAATATATTGTTCCGTCATCTTCTCCTGTTTTCGTCTGCTTTCGTTTGTTGGATGACGAGAAAGATAGTCCGCAGGGTTGCTGGCACCTGATTTATAAATTATCTTAAATGTATATGGTTGGAGGCGAAGCACTCATCTTTCAATTCGCACTGATGTTTTGGCTGTACTTTGACCATAAATAATTTCTAAAGGTTTGTGGTCAGTTATTAGTGTAAATTCACTTCCATATAGAAATAAATGGAAATGTTCAACTGCCCATACTATCGCTAACGCTTCTTTTTCCATCTGGGAGTATCTCTTTTCTGTATCAGTCAGCGCTCGGCTGGCATATGCAATTATCTGTTGACTGTCCACGTCACCGTTTCTTGGTTTCTGAGAAAGAATTCCAGAAATTCCTACAGGACTAGCATCAACTGTCACAAAAGTTTGTTTGTTTTTGTCGAAATATGACATACATGGAGCAATTGCAAGCATGTTTTTCAGCTTTTCAAAAGCAATTTGCTGTGTTTGAGTCCACTCAAAACGAACATCCTTTTTCGTCAGGTCACGAAGGGGAGCAGTTACTGTTGCAAAATCTCGAATGTACTTACTACTATAGTTGGCCATGCCAAGAAAGCTCCTGACTTCATGGGCATTATTTGGCTGAGGTGCATTTAATAGATCAGCTATTCTCCTAGGATCAGGATGAGTACCTTCTTTCGAAAAGACCTGTCCGAAAAATGACAATGTAGTGCTAAGGAAATTACACTTGCTTCGGTTTAGTCGTAAGCCCTTCATTGCAAGTCGTTGTAGACATTTGTCAAGATTAGCGTCATGTTCAGTTCTTGTTGAGCCGAATACAATGATATCATCAGCTATGTTCTTGACGCCTTTTAGCCCTTGCAGTGTGGTTTGGAGTGTGTACTGAAATATCTCCGCTGCAGCGTTTGTACCATAGTTTAGTCTTTTGTAGCGATACAAACCTACATGAGTGCTAAAGGTTGTTATACAACGAGACTGTTCGTCCAGTTCTAACTGATGATAGGCTCAAATCAAGTTTCGAGAAAAATTTTGCTCCATTCAGGGCAAAACTAACATCATTTACTGTTGGTATAGGATGGTGTACTCATCTTATAGCTTCATTTGCAAGCCGCATATCGACACATATGCGAACCTGTCCATCTTTTTTGGGAACAGCTACAATTGGTGAAACCCAAGGAGTAGCTTCATTTTCGGGCACTTTTTCAATCACATCTTGATTTTCTAATTCAGTTATCGCGTTTTTCACTTTTTGTCGAATGTGATAAGGTATGCGCCTTTGGGGTCGTGCTTTCGGAATTTTAGTTTTGTCTATGTGTAGTTTAATTTTTTCTCCCTTCAATTTTCCAAGATCGGAAAAAACTTTAGAATGCTTTTGAAGGATGTTTTCTAGTGCGGCATCCTTTGATGTCAGTTTGTCTAGATGCAAACTAATAAGTCCGAGTTCTTGTGCAGTAGAAAGAGAAAGTAAGTTTCCACAGTTCGCAGCTTTAGCGACATAGAATGTGGCTACAGATATTTGTTTTCGTGTTTCGATTACCGCTTCGAATTTTCGCAAAAATTCAACTGGTGATTTCGTATTATACGCGAAAGCTTTCATGTTCGTGCGAGTTAACTTTATGTGTTGCATTTTGTTAAAAGTGTCACGATCGATCACATTTATTGTCGCGCCACTGTCAATTGTTGTTTGAAATTTGGCACCACCTACTTTAACATTGACCTTGTTATTGTGCTTTGTATTTGTCATGGTATATAAATAGTCTTCATCGGAACTCGAGTTTGATCCTGTATCTAATGTTGTTAAATTTCTTTGTGCATGCTTTTTGTTTGAGTATCTCGGTGATCGCGTTTGTTTTTGTTTTCCTCGACAAACAGCAGCGAAATTATTCGGTTTTCCACAATTATTACAGGTTTTTCCTTTCACTGGACATGCCCCTGTGTGTGGATAAGCACGCCCACAATTTCTGCAAATAACATTACTACTGTTCGAAATATTACCGTTATTAGGTTTTTGTTCTAATTTATTAGCCTCACCGTCAGTTTGTTCTTTAGATTCGATTTGTTCAGCTTGATACTTGCTCTGCTCATCACGACGTCCTTCTAAAAGGATTGATTTTAAGTCAAATGTAGGATCACGCAGTGCTCGCTTTCGTATTTTTGATGAATTTCCGCCAATAATGATTTGTTCTTCGATTTCAAATTCAACGTCTGCAAATTCACAGGTTTCTGATATTGTTCTAAGTTTGGTGTGAAATTGATCTAATGTCTCATTGTGTTCTTGAGTTGTTTGTCTAAAACGATAAACTTCGAACCGCCGATTCTCTTGAGGGTCGAAGTAAGCCTTTAATTTCTGTTTTGCGATGTCGTAGTCCGTATCAGTTCCTGTCTCAGGGATTTCGCGAACTCTCAGTCCGGCTTGATATAGCAAGAGTGCACGTTTTCGCTTTGGATCCGTTATTCCACTTGTGGTTATATACATTTCGAAGTCTGACTGCCAATTGTTCCATCTTGTCGAAAGGCTTGTTCCGATTTTTGCATCTGGGCAAAATTCTGGCATTGGAGTTATTGTTACAGATTGCATGATCTGTACAGCCGGTTGCTGTAGTGGTTGAGGCTCTGCCTGCTCTTCCACCATCGTTTCTTTAATAGAATATGTTTATCTTCGTCGCCATTATAATATTCTCTTATTTAATAGACTTCTTGATATCTCGGCTACATGTAAACAACTGAATATATAATGTCCATATTCTAAATATAAACTAATCGTAATATGTGCGTTAACTATTAATAGACGTACATTACTATAACAATAATAGGATGTTTCTGAAGGACTCGTTCAACACCCGGTAGTTTGTCTTTTGCTGTCAAAGGCAGTATTACTGCCCTGTGGGTAACCTAGTTTTAATATACAAAGGGCCTCCATCAAATTGCATGGAATTGGGGGACGCACAGTAGACAAGTTGATCGCGTTCAATTTAGATAAAGTTCGTTCATTTCGGCCTGCCATTGTAATTTTGGAAGTAGGTACTAATGACCTAAGCCATAGCAAACCCGAAGTAGTGGGTTCCAAAATCGATGACCTCGTTCATCTTTTACTTCAGCTCCCTTATGTTCAGATAGTAGGGGTTTGCCTCATTACACATCGGGCAGCATCCCCGGAGTTCAACAGGCAGGTGTTTATTTTGAACCAATATTTAGAGGTCGTTCTGGATGGTGTTCCCAACATTTTTTGCTAGAGTCATAAGGGATTCTTACAGCATGTAAAATCTCTGTTTCTACCAGACGGTGTTCATTTCAATCGTAGAGCGCAATACACGCTGTATCGCAGTTATCGCAGTGCTATTCTTAAGGCTTTAGCAAGCCTTCCTAGTTGTTAGTCTGTTATCTTCGGTTTATGTCTTTTATACTTTTATGTCACCCGATACTGTTTAATTTTATTTAGATTTCTTCTTGCACGAGGCTACGCCCTCACACTTTAATTCTGGTGTTGGCTACGTCCACACAGAATATGTTTTATTTGGAGAAGTACTCCATACTTTGTAATCCTTGTGAGATTTTATTCTCGTTTATTTGTGATGGCTATGCCCTCACACATGTTAACCTGAGGCTACGTCCTCATTATTTCTTAGTGGCGTTTTATTGGGCGAGTGGTGCGGCCACTTTGTTGTGTGCCATGCTCAACCCAGCCTATATTGTAGTTTTATTTTATCTTGTTAGATTTTATACTTCATAAGCTTTTAGTATTCTCCCACTACGTTTCTGAGTGTGTTTTTCAGGAATTTTACCATGCCCGCCACTCGAAATCAACGTGCTCAGCGACCAGTATCAGTAGCCATACCACCAGCACGCCGTTCCCATCGCACTCAAGCGCCCCGTGCCTCAGGAACAACCACAATGGTTCCTTTGTCCAGTTCTCCTCAGCCAGCAACAGCTGCTCCTCTTGCTCCAGCCTCGGCTATCACGCCCCAACAGTTCCAAGAGATCGTCAGCTCCGTAACCGCAGAAGTGACTCGACGCCTGCAAACTGTAGCAACTCCAGTGCCTGGTGTCCACGCAGTCCCATCGAGTTCTCCTTCTGCACCTGCTGCCTCAGTTACGGAATCGCCTATTGTCCGCATCTTAGAGCATGTTGCGACTCCTCCGACGGCTGTGGTGCAACTTGCTGTTTCCAACGCTCTTGGTTCGGCCCAAGCCACAATTTCAGGTGAGACGTTTTTGGCGCCTAATTCTAGCCATGTTCAACTAACGAAGGAATATCACTCTATTAGTTTACCTATAGACTGTCGGATTTCCATTAAACTTAAAAATAAAATTTGGAATGATGAATACATCAATTTCGGGTCTTTGTTGAGCAATCCAATGTCAGATAACAAATTCCAATTGAGCTTTAGCTCTTCTGACACCGGTTTACCACCATCTCTTTCAGTAGAGCCGATAAGTAAAGCCAAGAAAATAACAAATATTTCTGTTTGGATGAGTGCGCTTCGTATTTTTGTAGGGGTTTTATGCTCAAAAGTATCCTCATGAGTCCCCCGCACTCATGAAATACGGGGATATAGTACAGGACTTGGCAGATCGGGGTCACAATTGGCGGTTCTATGATGAAAACTTTCGCTTTTTGCGTCAAACCCAGCGTAGTTTGTTGTCTTGGGCCAATGTTCACTGGGAATTGTGGCTGCGATCGCAGCATACTTCGCAAAAATCACCCAGTACAATGCAACGTGCCCCGTCTACCCATTCTGGTAAGGCGCTGCAAAATTCAATTCCTCAAGGCTACTGCTTCAAGTTTCACAAAGGAGAGGCTTGTTCTGGGTGTGAATTTAAACATTCCTGTTTTAAGTGTGACGGCCTACACCCTAGCCTTAAAGGTAATTTTCGTGGCCAACTCAAGCGAGATTTTCCCAGACCAACCCGTAATTCTGCCAAGTCAGGTGCTGCTCACAACGCCAATCAACCTAAATCGGCTTGAGCCATATTTAAACGGCTATTTTCCAGACATAATTTCTATGCTCGTTTCTGGTTTTACTCATGGTTTTGCATTACATTTTTCTGGTGTTGTTAATACCCAAGAAGGCAAAAATCTGCCTTCGGCTTTAGCTAATCGAACCGTGGTTGATTAAAAACTTGCTAAAGAACTGTCAGCTCTCAGGCTTGCAGGGCCTTTTACTGCCGCGCCATTTCACCCATTTAGGGTTTCTTCGTTAGGTCTAGTCCCAAAAAAGACAATAGGCGAATTTCGTTTGATTCACCATTTGTCCTTCCCGCGCGGTTCTTCTGTCAACGATGGCATAGCTACCGAAAACACTAGCGTGCACTATGCCACAGTTGCAGATGCTATTCGTTTAATTAAACTCGCGGGACCTGGATGTTTTCATGCAAAAACCGACGTGAAGAACGCTTTTCGCATTATACCAATTCGACCGTCCGACCATTATCTGTTGGGCATGAAATGGCACGGACAGTATTATTTCGATCGCTAGTAGGTAACCCCCCCCCCCCCCCCATATACTGTCAGAAGTAATTAGTATTCAAGCGAATGACGTCAGCAGGGGGTGTACGTCTGGGCGTTCATACTTAGTGTACGTCCAAGCGTTCGTACTTTGCGTGCGTATTTACTGTACGTCCGAGCGTTCGTACTTAGTGTACATTCACAAGAAAATAGAGAACAGCAGTTTGTTTTATTCAAGTTCCCACAGTATTACAACAATTTAAATGTTTCTTCCAATACGAAAGCCAACTTAACTTATTTATTCTTATAATCAACTCTCTATTAGCATGAGTACAATGATTAATCATCAAAAAGTTTATATTCCACATATATTTTACGATAACTTTTCTCGTATGAAAGATTACATTGTAGAGCGGCAAGGATAATTTTTAACTTGCCCAAAGACAAGGCGTCAAGTGTAGTACTTAAGCATGACCACTGGTCATCATTTTTTACATATTATAAACTAGATACCTTTGCATTGATTTATAAAACAACTAACTGACATGCTTCCATATGCAATGTCTAAAGGCATTGTAAAGAAACGTTGCAGCGGCTACTCCCTTAGGTGTTTTAATAATTCCAAGGTTTAACACCAGATACATGATGGACTCGGTCGAATACCGAGGTTCTGTGTTGTCGAATTTTGTACATTATAATGAACAGGGAGTAGAACATCATCAACTTAAATATTTAAAAGAACAGTTACGTTTGAGTAGCTACTTTATAGACTTTAAGTTCGATGTTGCCTCTGCCTCAACTATGTTATATATTTAATTTAATTAGTACATGTACATCTAATATTTCATTTTCATTTTCATAGTTAACTCATAGATATATAGTTACGTACACGACCCCACAAGCTTGCAGCTTTAAACATTATTGTGTTTAAATAAAGGTTATCTATCTAACAGTTTTGTACGTACAACAGTTTCGTACGAACAGAGACGTGCGTACGCTTTGTGTTAATCCATGTGTTAATTGATGCATGCAGTCAACCAATGCAGTATCTTTGGCAGCGATATTTTTCTCGTAAAATCAGTACAATTTCGTGTTGCCCCTATTATCTCTCTCTTTTGAACACACAGCGAAACATTTTAAAAACTTTGGGAAAGATCATAAAGCGGCTCTTGATTTCTTGAGACGGACCTGAAGCTCTTGGCGATAAATACATTTGTTTCAAATGTCCTGTCTGTTTATGCCCCTGCGCAGTGTTGCGTCGCACGGAAAGGTCGTACGAATTAAGGTCGTACACGGACAAACATGATATGCGCTTGATTCAGCTCACTTTACACTACATTTTCGGGGACCGCTGTACACTAGGTTTATCGTCAATAAACAGACGATGTCGTGACCAGTGCAAACGAAGTCCTCGCTGAGAGTCAGTACCGGTGTAATGTGTGCAAAAATCAGGTATAGTGTATTCTTTGCCGAAAATGATTTCTCCCCATTCGATAAAGTTTTATTTTAGCTTACTTCTCTGTGAAATACACGAGATTTGATTATTTTTTTTTCTCTTCTATTTGAGATATTTAATTACTAATTAGCGAGTTGAAATGAGCCGTGATATTTATTATATGCAAATGTTTTAAGTCAAACATCCCATGCACACGAAACACACACGCACATTTTGTCAGTTGGCAATATTAAGAGTGATATTGTCGCATTTAGCTTACTTCTCTGTCAAATAAATGAGATTTGATTAATTTATCGTTTTTCATTGCTCTGCTTCTTTGTGAAATACACGGGACTTGATTAATTTTTATAGCTAGATATTGAACTAGCGAGCTGAGATGATCCATTATAGTTGTTATATGCAAATGTTTTATGTCAAACTATACGTTGAGATCAATAATGCTAAACATACGCCTATTATGATAGGTATGAGTGCATGGGTGAGAGAGAGTGTCTTATGTTATCGTATGAGGAGAGATCGCAGATGTATGATTTGGAAGCCATAGAGTGAGTTAGCCAAAAAAGACATGGTATGGAATAAGTTTGTTGAGGTGACCAGAGTTTTAGAGCTTCAGTGGGATGAATACTATAACAAATATAACAGACAAACAAATAGGATTTATAAAATTTATTCTTAAAGTATAAAAGTCAAGGGTGGGTTGACTACAAAATATTTGTAGTTCGCTCTAACTACAGCTACTTCAAAAATATGTAGTCAGCTACAACTACTGCTACTTTGAACAAAGGTAGTTCGCTACTGACTACAGCTACTGCTTAAGAAATGTAGCAAACTATTTCGCTATTTCGCTACTCTATATTTTTTAGTTTTACGGTATTTGGAGCATAGTTGAGCATCCACTAACTCAGGCTGTAATATAACCTACAACAAATCGACTTACGAGTAGCAACAGTAAACAAAAAGGGTTAAAGCAACATTTTTATAAGTACTACAGTGTTCAGGAGTGCCACTTTTCATTGCGCTAAAATAATCTTTACTGTATAAAATAATCTTTTAAGCAAACCGTGTCTTAATATCATTCTATTCTATGAACGGTTGCTAACATATTTTAAAAAGTAGCGAATAGCGATTCGCTGTTTGAAAAGTAGTCAACTACTTAGCTACTTTTAGGCAAAATGTAGTTCGCTATAACTACAACTACTGTTTTAAAAAAGTAGTCAAAAACTACTGGCTACTTGAAAATTGTAGTTCGCTACAGTAGCGAACTACAACTACTTCGCTACTACCCACCCTTGATAAAAGTACAACAATTTATTCGATAGTATCGCTTTCATCGTCTGAATAATGTTGTCGCTTTTCTAAAAGACGTTCGAAAAGAAACTTTCTCTTTTCTACTGCGGAATATAAAGCTTCTTCGCGGTCGAGAAAATCTGCGTCAATCAAATTATCTCTTGTCTGCATGATCTTCTTGTGAATTGCTTCGTGTATCAACGTTTGCCAGGGATCGTAGTCCTCTCCATCTTCGCTGGATTAGTGTTCTTCGCTTTCCTCTTTGCTGTCATCTTCCTCGCTGTTCTCATTTTCTTCGCTGTTGCTCTCTTCTTCACTGTTATGTTCTTTCTCGTCATCGCTATCGAAAATATCGCCATTTTGAGATGAGGAAGAAACCCCTTCATCATAATTATTCATCCTAGCTCTTTTTGATCTGTGCATAATGCTGTAGTCTTCTTCATCTGCGCAAGATGACATGGCGTCACTCAGATAAATACGTCTTTCTTCACTTGATAGATGGTGAATGTCTGCCAAATGATTTGATAATTTGCAAAGGTTTCTCTTTCCGCACAGTAGACAGTCTTTACGTGTTCGCGGCATCGCGCGAAATCATTCCTCTTGTCAAACGGGACGCAGGGACATTGCTACGGGATGCCCGGGACTTGCTTGCGGGACACTTTGAGTGTGTCCCTATATGCGGGACGCAAGGACATTGCTACGGGACACCCGGGACTTGCTTGCGGGACACTTTGAGATGTGTCCCTATAATAATGCGGGACGTCCTTATGGGACGCATTTTAACGTGTCCTTGCGTCCCTAAGACTGTTTTTATGGCAAGACCCATACACAAATTCAAAGGGTATAACTTCTTCCTGGGTTACATAATTCATTATTCGAAGCTCGCAGTTTTGACATAAGTATAGCGTAAGGATTAAACCAGATTAGTATGACTAAATACTTCAACGTCACTAACATAACGTCACTAACATACATACAACGTCACTAACATGTATTTAACTCATTAACGCCCAATGCGCCCGTATGCGCCCTGAGATTGACAAGTGGGTAACGGACAATGCGCCCCAATGCGCCCTGGCATGACACCTTAACTTGCGGGCATGATATTTGAGCACGTGTTTATTGGGTTGCCTAGCAACGGATACGAAAATAGAACGTGAAATTCGAGCTTTTCAACGGTGTATCATGCAAGAAAATCGGTCAGAAAC